GAGTTATGTGATGATGGAGATTTCTCAGTAAGGTTGACTTATTCTTTAATATTTTGTGACCGGTTTGAGAGCAGTGTAACTGGTTTAATGCCTGTTGCCTATTCCTCATCAGGTAAGATGTTTCTCTTATTAATATGTCTCAAAAAGCTATTATCTGTTGATATGCTGAGGGGTAAGATATTCTAAATGTTTGTATTATAGTTGTGCATGACAAGGAGTCTGTGGACCGTTTCTTTGTTGAATGCTCCTTAGTAAGAAGAATGTCGGAATGGGTTAAACATAGAGACTCATGATCAAGCTGCTGAGTTGTTAACTGTAGTGTTAGTGCGGTCGGAAGAATGCTTATAAGAACACTTAGAGGCGCGGTGGTGTAGGAAGTATGGAAGGAAGGGAATGGTAAAATCTTAGAGAATATGTCGAAGTAATTTAGGAAAGAGTTTTGTTTAGAGTGGTTGAACATACAGCAGGTTGCAAGAAATTTTGCGATTGGCTGAGGACTGACTTAATGTATAAAATGGATGAAGTGTTGAATATAAGCTGTAGGAAAAAGGAGAGGGTGCGCAATTGGGTTGCGCCTAATGGAGGGGTATTAAAGCTCAATGTCAATGGAAGCTCATTGGGAAATCCTGGGGTAGGTGATATAGGAAGGGTTACAAGAGATAGTGAAGCGAATGTACTAAGAAAATATTATGGCCCTGTGGGTGAAGCTACTGCTAATGTTGCTAAATTTAAGTCATTGGTGCAAAGTCTGAAGATAATAAAGGAAATGGGGAATAAATTTGTTGCTGAGGGGCATTCTTAATGTGATAAATTAGTATAATGGGAAGAATAATTTTCCTTGGAGGACAGTGGAATTATTTAAGGAAGTAATGGATGTGTCAAGGCAAAGATGTGATTTTTTAGCATGTCTACAGAGAAGAAAAATTAAATTGGCTGATGGATTGGCAAGATGTGGCGCGCAAGCTCAAGCTCTATATGTGGAATAAAGATGTCTTTGTCAAATTTTGTGTTTTTTTTATTGATTTTTGTATTGTTTGTTGTCACATTCCTGCTTTTAATCAACT